GGGGTGCTCTGAGCCCAGATGAGATGATGATGTTATGAAAGAGACTCACAGACCGTCAGCAGCTGTCAAATACTCATCGGTCCCCTGGCTGCCAATCAAGTGCATGGAGCGTCCAAGAAGAATGCCTTAAACTCTCCATGGTGTGAATGCTCTGAAGAAGGAACATCTGGGGTCTGGGAGGGGACCCATAGTTTTCAGGAACACATCCACATTTGAAGCTTACGGGGATGGGGATGGAGAATACAGGATCAACAAGGGGGCTAGAACACGCATTCCAAATGAAAGCCGTGAATTCCTAACTCATGTAGACTCAGGTAAGTGCAATTTGCAGAGTATTTTAGGAAAACCTTTTAAGAAAAACTTCATTTCTTCCCAAACTGCATTTTTGGTGACAGCATTGAAGACAAGGTCACACTACAAGATTCGATCTGTAGACCCCACTCCAAAATGGGAGGGAGGGGAAACTGGGCGAGGAAGGAGCACCTCCCTTTCCCCACAAACCTCTCGAGACCTCAGGGGCACACTGAACTCCAGATGAAGAGGGCCCGTGACAGAGCCAGTTGTGCCCGAGGTGTCGGTCCTGGCGCTCAGGGAGTAGGGAGTGGGGGCAAACGAGGCCCGTGGGCACCTGCCCTGGACATCACGATGACGTCCCTTGCAGGTCAGCCAAAGAGCTGGGAAAACCAGATGGCTCAAGGTGCAGGGGCTGCTGGCAGGGAGCAGCCTGCTGAGTGGCTCTCTGGGGGCCCTGCAGTCCCAGGGATCTGCCGGGAGCCTCTTCTGTGGACTCAGCCCTCCTCCATGGAAGGACTGGCCCTACAAAAGCCTTTTTTAAAATTGTTTTTTACCATTCAAGTACTGTTTTTCCTCTTTCCACGTTTTCTATTGTTTCATTACAGTTCCACGTAAGGATGGGATTTGTCGCTACGTGTTTGTACATGCACACAATATGACAGCAAAGCAGTGTGGTCTGGCCACTGTCACTCCTAGCACTCTCCTTCCTCCCCCTCCCACTACAAAAGTCTCTTTTGAGGAATTTGGAGGGTCTTACATCTTGCCACAAGCCTTTCCTGCCTTAGGGTGAAGAAGTACTTGTGCTGGCCAGTGGCTGGCTGTCCAGAGTGTAGAGTGTGGCCTGCAGCCAAGGCTGGCACAGGTGTGTCCTGGCCCTCACCTTGACCACTGCACATCCAGCCCTGCAGTGTTCCAAGTCTCCACGCAGACAGCCTGGCCAGGAGGCCCACCACGAGGGCGTCAGCCCTGGTGCTTCAAATGCAATTGGGATACTTTGCGGCAGGTGCACAGAGGAGAAGAGAATTCTCTCCTTCCAGGCGATGGGCAGGGCCTGGTTCAGGGCATCTGCCAAGACTGGGAAGGTATGGGAACAAGGTCCCTTACCCCCCAACCCTCCCTGGATCAGCACCTTGATCCCAAGCACATGATCAAGCTTATCTTTTCTATGGGACGTAAATTTACATTAATTTTGCAGCATTCCTGTTAACTATAGCATGATATCAACCTTAAAGAAATAGCATTTGCAGCAAGATCAAGAAAATGAAACTTCACGTAGGAGCCAGCCATCCTCCCCCAAGCCCCAGCTGCTGTGAGTCACCAGACATGATTGCCTGAAGGCCAGACACAGCCCACCCAGCACCTCCCAGGGCCTACCCCCCACCCCCTGGGGTCTCCAGAGAGAGGCCTCCTCCCACTCTCAGCCGAGCCCACGCCGGTGCTCCCCCGCAGGATCCTCCATGAGGCCAAGGTCCTTCTGGTGCCAACTGCAGCCTCACAGGGCACGTGCCTCCTGGCCTCCTGCACCTGGCAGAGGGTCCCCAGGGCTGAGGAGTGTCATGGATTGAATGTGGTCCCCAAAAGATGTGAACTCCTCTGTTCCCAACCCGGGAGGGTGCCCTTATTTGGAGCAATGGTCTTTGCAGATGCAAGTTAAGCGTCTTGAGGTGAGATCACCCTGGGCTGTCCAGGTGGCCGTGTCCAGTGGCAAGTGCCCTCTTAAGAGGAAGGAGGGAGAGGAGCAGGCTGAGGAGGAGGCCGTGTGACCACAGAGACCCATGATGCCAGGGAGCCTCAGCAGCCACCAGAGGTCCCCAGCGCCTGGAGGGAGCAGGGCCTGCCACACCCCTGCAGGGCCTGTAGCCTGAGCCCTGGGGAAGGAACTGTGGGTGTTGAGCTCTGGTGTGTGGGGATCTGATCCCCTGGGCCCAGGAAGCACTCAAAAAGCTCCTTCCAGGGGGCCCCTCAGGGAGGTTTCCGCTGTGGTCAGAGCACAGTGCCTGGTTTAAGTGGACATTCCCTCTTTGAACATGGTTGTAAAAAATAAGACCTGCTCCTCCGAGGGGGAAAGGCCCTGGGCCAGCCGAGGACACGTGAAGGGCCCTGCTCTGAAACCCTCCCTTCTCTGTCCTGCTTGTCCCCAAAGTCCCGTGGGTTGTGACCGCCCCACGCCAGGCCCCAGTCAGCTCCAATTCAGCTGGCTTCACTCCGCTCCACCCAATGCCTGGCCTGAGTCCTGCCCGGTATCACAGGGCACCTGCTGCAGGCCTCTGGCTCGCTGTAAGGAGACCGGCCAGATGCCCCTGACACAGGTGGATGTGTTTCTGCTTAGCCAGGGTCATGGTGGGAGGGCTGCAGCTGGCCCCTTGAGAGGTCCTCCTGGGCTGCCAATACCTGGACCTTCAGCCCTGGTGGACGTGGGTGCTGGTGAGGGTGCTCCTGCCTCCCAAGACTGTGGGAAAGCAAATGTGCTCATGGCACCCGTGAGGGAGCACGGCTATGGCCAGGCCGGGTCAGGCTGGGGGCTGTAGCCGGGTGGAGGCTGTCCTGGGGGCAGCCTGCGGAACGGGCAGCTCTTCACCAACATGCTCTCCTGGTTCTCACCTTCACATAAAACTTGTTCCCAGCTTGGAGAGAAACTCATAAACACCAGCAGCAGCTGCTCAGTAGGATGTCAGTGCGGGGCTGAGCCACAGTCCCTGCACGGGACCCAAATCCACAGGGCTCCAGGGATGGGGCTGGAGGGCAGCCAGGGCTCCCTTCCTTGACCCTGAAGGATGGGTGTCTCCAGGCCTGGGAGGGGAGGGTTGGGTCCATCTGTTGAGCCCCATGGCTGCAGGGTGCTCATCAAGGATGCTGGAGTGAGGCTAGGGATTCTGGGCTGACCCAGAGACCAAGGCCTTCCTCTGGTCTGTGTGGCGTTGAGATCAGAAAGAACCCCAATGCCCCACAGGTGAGGGGTACGGGCCCGGAGGCAGCAGCCCAGGCCTCGACCTGACAGCCATGCTGACGCTGGCTTTGGCAGGTCATTAGGAATTCCAGGCACACTGCTGAGTGCTGAATAATGCATCAGGCCGTCCTGGTGATTAATTCTCTTAAATGAGCTATCTGCATCTGCTGATTAATCTCTGCAGCCCAGTTGGACCCCTTTGGGGCTGGGGTTGGAGGAGCTGCTCTGAGAGGCTGGGAGCCCAGGCCTTGCCATCGGGGTCTCAGAGACACAAACAGGCCCAGAGCACATCTCCCTGCCCAGGGCAGCAGCTGGGCTTGAGACCTTGGGTGAGAGTGGACATGCAGAGCCTCAGCAAAGCATCCAGAATTCAGGAAGCTGCCCTCCTTCCTCTCAGCCTGGGGACAACATGTCATGATACCTGTGACTGTCCCTGCTCCAGCCTGGCAGCCCAGCCCTGCAGTAATCCCTGACAGCTGTGGAGTGACCAGGCCTCTGCCAGGGGCAGGGCCTCTGGCTGGGGACTGGAGTCCAAGCCGTGCTGCTGCAGATGTGAGGAGGGGTCATGGAAGGGGTTTGGTCCGGGTGAGGGCCTCTGTGGCCTTCAAGAAGTCAGGTGTCTGAGGACAGAGATGTGAAGACGCAGGATCCACATTGTCCACACCACGACTCCCATCGTGTGCCCCCAGCTGGCAGGTGGATTCCACGTCCATGTGGAAGCAGCGTGGGTCTGGGGTCACTGCAGTCCTGCCTTCTTCTCCACACAGCGGTGCCTTGGCGGGGTGTGCCAAGGACAGTGCCATTGCCCTCTGCTCTCTGGTCTCAAGGGTCATCGTCCTGGAGGTCTCCTCTGAGGAACTGGCCAGTTCCTGGAGTCTGATGGGCAGCCCCTTCCAGGGGTCCCAGGCACACCCCAGATGGCTGTTGGACACCGTGGGACGTAGGCACTGGCATCTCTGAGAACACACTGGAGTTTCAGCTGCCATGGGGGCCTGCCGGTGGCTGCAGGGGACTGTCCTGCTGGGTTTTACCAAGGTCTGCCTTGAGATCTCTGGGCCTCTTGACTCTGAAGGGCTGACCACAGGGGGATGCTGGGTCTGGACCAGTGGTCCAGAGGGGAACCCCCATCATGTGGGCTGGTGGAACAACTAGAGGGATTCCTGAGGGGCCCACAAAGGCCCTAACAAGACAAATAATGGGACACAGCACATCCCTAGACACTGGCCACAGTGAAGCACCAGGAATGTCCTAGAATTGGGACTTCCCTTCCCCCAGGCATGGCCAGCTCCACCCTGCACCACTGACGCTGACCACAGCCATCTGCTCAACTCAGTGGGTGTGGCTCAGCACCCAGCTCTGGGAGCGCCGGGGCAGTCCCAGCCTGTGCTGCAAGGGTTCAATTTCCTCTGATGGGGCTGCAAGGACATTCCACCCCTGAAAACCCACAGCTCAGCTGGAGCTCTTCAGAGCCAAGTGAGATTTCCCACCAGGTTCATGGGGAAACCTGTTGCCCAGCTCCAATGGGAGAAAGGAACACAGAGCCCTCCCATTCCTGAGGCCAGCCTGCACAGCCCAAGATGTCCCCCAAGACCCCCACCTTGGTCCCCTTACCTGCACACCCCCACTAGGACCTCTCTCAAACACCTGTGTCTCCATGGTACCAGAGCTTACTGAACACAATACATCCACAGGCCACACCACTTTCATAGGTGGCAGTTCTCAGAGCGGTTACAGGCCACCTGATAGTCACAAGCCGGGCAGTCACGGGTTCTTTTATTCCCATCTTAATGTCTAACATCACTAACACTCAAGGCACACGCACTTCACACAGTGGCATATAAACAGGTCACAGAGGGACTAAGGGAGGGCTAAGATGGCCCGGGGCTGCAGGATGCTGAGCCAAGGCAGAGACCGGTACAGAGGCAGAGTCACACAGGGTCAGGTGGGTTTAGAGGAACCAGTTCCAGAGCTGTCAAAGCAGAGGGTCTGGAGGGTTGGCAGGTTCGGTTTCAGAGTGTCGGCTTGAGGTGTCAGCTGGACGTGGGCCGGCCGTGTGGCCGTCACAGGCAGCAGAAACCAAGCTTTGCTGAAGGCTGACAGGAACAGGACATCAGAGGTTTGTCCTGTGGTGATTTTCCTGGACAAGGCTGTGATGAGTGACCAGTGATCAGGGTGCCGCTGTGTTTGGTGACAGGGGCTTCTCCTTTTGTGGTCTCCATGAGGAGCTCTCATCTGTGAGGTTGATGAGCTCCTGGGTCAGGTGTCCTGGTAGGAAAGGGGTGTCCACCTGTCCAGGTGCTCCTGGACTCAGTTTGATAAGTTGGCATGGAGGAGTTGTTTATCAGTGGTGGCACTGGGCAGGTGGTGGTTGTTCACTTCGACAAACAACAAGTGGAGTCATCTCACCTTGGCACCTGACACAAAATACAGGCAGTCACTCACGGCAAACTAGTGCTTTACCAAATGGAGTCACTCAGGATCAGGAGCAGCCTGAGAGCTGCTGTCCTACACACAGTAAAGTCACTAGGGCAGGCACAGCCTGAGGACTGCTGTCCTACACACCATGGAGTCACTAGGGCAGGCACAGCCTGAGGACTTCTGTTCTACACACCATGGAGTCACTAGGGCAGGCACAGCCTGAGGACTGCTGT